CCTTCCTTCCTTCCTTCCTTCCTTCTTCTTTTGTTTTTGGGCTACACCCAGAGATGTTCAGGAGTTACATCTGGCTCTGTATTTAGAAATTACTCCTAGTCATGATTGGGGAACCAAATAAAATCCTGGGGATCAAAATTGGGTTAGCTGTATGCAAGGCAAATGCCCAAAGGCTTGTACTCTTGTTCTGGTCCCTAATTTTGTTTCTTTCTACCAGATCAGTTTAGTTCTTTACTTCACTAAAACTTGGGACAATTAAAATATTTTTTTGGTTACCACCCAACTCTTCAGCAAATGGATTTTTATTGTAGTGATCAATAATTCACACCTTCACTAGAACTACACTAGAACTAGAGGACAAGTTGCAAAGCTTCTAACTCCTAACATGACTAAAAGATGGAAAGCAGAGTGTGTTCTTTGAGAATTTTAGAGTGGAATGTCTGCATTTTACTGCAGTAGTTGTAAGGGGAGAAGTGAAGCTTACAGATTGAATTTTCAGGGGAATGCTGTTCAAAATTTTTTTTCTTTAAATAATATTCATGGTGGGGCTGAAGTAATAGCACAGCGGGTAGGGCGTTTGCCTTGCACGCGGCCGACCAAGGTTCAATTCCCAGCATCCCATATGGTTCCCTGAGCACTGCCAGGAATGATTACTGAGTGCAGAGCCAGTAGTGACCCCTGAGCATCGCCAGGTGTGACCCCCCCAAAAATAAATAAATAAATTCATAGTACAATGTTCTGCCTATTGAGACTAAGATGTTCAATAGAAAATTTACATATATAACTTTACAATCTGTAAAGAAGGAAAAGGGAACTATTACCTATATTTTTAAAAGTAAAACATCATATATCTTATAGCACTGTAGCATTGTAGCACTGTCGTCCTATTGTTCATTGATTTGCTCTAGCGGGCACTAGTAACATCTCCATTCATACCTGTCGCATGCTACTGTAGCACAATGGTGTCTGCTCGCTCCCGGAACACAAAATGAGACTTGTTATTTTTTTTGACATATTGAATATGCCATGGGTAGCTTGCTAGGCTCTGCCGTGCAGGCAGGGTACTCTTGGTAGCTTGTTGGGCTCTCCGAGAGGGACGGAGGAATCAAACCTGGGTTGGCTGTGTGCAAGGCAAACGCCCTACACGCTGTGCTATCACTCCAGCCTATTCCTTTTAGCATGAAATAAAATTACCTATTTCACTTGCTACATATGGAAAAAAATTTTCAAAAATTTTTCCATATTGCCCTTTTAATCCTTTACTTCTTCTAACTTGTATATTTATTTTAAGATAATTTTTCTGTAAAATGAAAATGCTTAGTGTGAAAAAGGTTGAGTCATCAAAAATTTCCTCTGTGTTAATCTTACAAAAAGTTACAATAGCTTGAGCAAACGTACTTCCTCTATCTATAAAACCCCGTCTTTTAGAAACCACAAATATTTCCAAAGCTATATATTATTTTTGAGAAAGTCAAATATCAAGTAAATATCAAGTAAATATTAAGTGGGCCAAAATGTAGCTCTATACTTTCCCATTCTTTGGAAATCAAATATTAATGACCAAAATTGTGATTGTCTACAATCAATAAGCAGTTATCCTAAAAGGATTGGAGAGTGGATAAGTAAAACTTAAATAAGTTAAATTAGAGATTTTTAAGTTAGAGATTAGAAGAAAGTATAGTTTTCTATGGCTGTTACAAAATCTGGCATGGAACATTATTCATTACTTATTGAAGTTGATTCAATTGGTTACATAATTTTAATCTTTTCCTATAACATTTTATCATCTGCACTAGGTATGGAAGGATGTTTGGGAATAACAACACAAAAACAAAATCATATATAAAATTGCAAGAGTAACATAGGTAAATTCTTTAATGCAAGAGTTTTAGTGGGTTTTAGGAATCTAAGCAGAGTAGGAATTTAGGATATGAAGCAAGGAAACACACAATGGCACTGGAAATGAGTTTCTTCCTACATGTTGATCATTTTGTATGCAAAGCATAGACTTCTCTGGGAGAAGAGAGAAAGGGATGGAAGTTATCGAAATTTTGTTTATTGGGGCTGGAGCAATAGCACAGTGGGTAGGGCATTTGCCTTGCATATGGCCAACCCAGATTCAATTCCCAGCATCTCATATGGTCCCCCGAGCACCACCAGGAGTAATTCCTGAGTGCATGAGCCAGGAGTAACCACTGTGCAATGCCAGGTGTGACCCAAAAATAAAAAAAATTGTTTATTTATTTGGTTTGGGACCACATCTAGCTGTGCTTAGAGCTTACTCTGGCTCTGCACTCAGAGCTCATGTCAGGGAGTCCTCTGCTAACCATAGAGGGTTGCTGGGGATTGAACTCAAGTTGGTCACATGCAAGACAAGTGTCTTCTCTGAGTCACTATCTCTCCAACCCCCTCAACATGACTTTATACAAATTATATAAGAAATAAAAAATAAGGTATCACTGAAAAAGTTGCAGGGAGTTGGGTTGTTGGGTTTACCAAGCAAATATAATAATCACATCAAAAGGATCATGCGTCCATATCATAGAAATTTGCATAACAATATGATTGTTCATAAACACTGTGCTGATAGTGTGGTGCACAGATATAATAGACACAATAATTAGTTTTTATTCAAATAATTTTTATAACTATTATTTACCAGTATGCCATATTTTACAGTTCATTCTTACTTTTATTCAGAAGGATTCTTTAGCATTCCTGAGGAAGAAAATATTTTGCTTAATCATGACTTGTTATTTTTTTCTAAATCACCTTCATCTTGTAAAAGTCTGTAGTTAATATTTGTCTTCTTTTTATAAGTAATAATCACTAATTTTTAATTTCAATACTTATTTCATTGTTTTCAGCTACCAGGGCTCTGCTCGGGGCTGGGAGGGAAATTCAACCTGCCCTCCTCCAAGGGGGTCTGGTAAGGACAGCCACGTGTGGAGGCAGGAAACTCTGCACTGTTCTGTTCCGGGAGCTGGGTTTTATAGTCTCTGAGTCTTGGCCATTGATGGGATTACACTGCACCGGGGCCAGCTGGTGGCTGTAATGCCTACATACTGGAAGATGGGGGATTTGGGTGGAGAAGGCCCAGTCCTGATCCAAGCAGGCTTGGAGATTTAAGTCCCAGGTCCCACACACCTGGGTTCCTCTGCCAGTTCCTTCACGCGTGAGGCTCGTCCAAACGTGTGAAGAGTGGTCTTAAACTGGCACAGCCATCTTATTATCTAGTTCTTACTCTGGAGAACCTAGCAGGCTAGGTTCCGAAAGTATTCTGCCTGCATGGCAGAGTCTGGCAAACTCTTCGTGGTGTATTCAATATGCCAAAAACCAGTAACAATGATGGGTCTCATTCTCCTGACCTTAAGAGAGCCTCGAATGTGGCACTTTCTAAAATCTCAGGGCTAGGATGAAGGAGCTGTTACTGGCGCCTGGTCGAGGCAATCAATGACCAACAGGATGACAGTGATACAGTGAAACAGTGATTTCATTGTTTAGTTCTAAGTCAGTGTTAAATTTACTATTTTAAACATTTTGGTGATAGTAATATGTATAGAGGGCAGTTTTTATGTTGGCTATAATTGGAAATATATATATATGTACATATAGTTGTTAAAGAAGTAGTGCTATTTATTCAAAGGTTTTTTTCTTAAAATTATTAAAACACCATGATTTACAAAGTTATTTGCAGTTGCATTTTAGACATACACTATTTTTAAAAAATTTTTTATTAGTGAATCACCATGAGGTACAGTTACAAACTTACAAACTTTCGTGCTTGCATTTCAGTCATACAATGACTGAGTAACTGTCCCTCCCATAGTGCCCATTTTCCGCCACCAATGATCTCAGTATCCCTCCCACTATCCCTATGCCATCCCTCCCACTCCAACCCGCCTCTATGGCAGGGCATTCCCTTTTGTTCTCTCTCTCCTTTTGGGCATTGTGGTTTGAAATAGAGGTATTGAGTGGTCATCATGTTCTGTCTATAGTCTACTTTCGGCATGCATCTCCCATCCCAAGCGGGTCCTCCAAACACCCTTTACTTGGTGTTCCCTTCTCTATCTGAGCTGCCTTTTCCCCCAGCATGTGAAGCTGGCTCCCAAGTCAGGGAGCAAACCTCCTGGTACTTATGTCTACTATTCTTGGGTATTAGTCTCACATTCTATTACTTTATATTTCACAAATGAGTGCAGTCTTTCTATGTCTGTCCCTCTCTTTCTGACTCATTTCACTTAACATGATACTTTCTATGTTGATCCACTTATATGCAAATTTCATGACTTCATCTTTTCTAACAGTTTGATAGTATTTCATTGTGTAGATGTATCAAAGTTTCTTTAATCAGTTATCTGTTCTTAGGCACTGGGATTTTTTTTCTTCTGGATTTTGGCTATCATAAACAGTGCAGCAATGAACATGCAAGTGCAGTTGTCATTTCTACTATACTTTTTTTGCATCTCCAGGATATATTCCCAGAAGAGGTATTACTGGGTCAAATGGGAGCTCAATTTCTAATTTTTTGAGAAATGTCCATACTGTTTTCCAAAAGGGCTGAACCAGTCAGTATTCCCATCAGTAGTGAAGGAGATTCCCTTTCTCCCCACATATGAGCCAACACTGTCTGCTTTTGTTCTTTTGGATGTGTGTCAGTCTCTGTGGTGTGAGATTATATCTCATTGTTGTTTTGATCTGCATCTCCCTGATGATTAGTGATGAAGAGCATTTTTTCTTGTGCCTTTTGGCCATTCATATATCTTCTTTGAGAAAGTTTCTGTTCATTTCATGGCCTCTAGACATACACTATTCCAGCATTAAATCTACCATCAGTGTCAAATTCCCTCCACCAGTGTCCCCAGATTTCCTCCCTCCTCCAGATGCCCACTAGCCTGCCATCTTGATAGGCATAATTTAAAGTTTGGTTGTTGACATTTGTGTCTCATGTTTTCTGTGTTTTTGACTCTGTCATTTGTCTATTTAACCATGTCTCTCCTCTATATCACAGATGTGCTAAAGTCCCTTTTACCCCCAAACCAGATGCTTCCATAACCAACTGCTTCTTCCCTCAGATTGGTGTTTCTTATTGTTTCATCCACCACTGGACTGCTGCTGCTACTCAACTTACATCTACAAGATTTAAGATATAATAATCAAAGAGACACTTGATAAATGATTAGACACTGTACAACAGGAAGATAAAATATTATATTATACAGCATAACTTAGATCCCCTGTGTCATTTGCCCATAAACAGCTATTTCCAATAACATGTATGAAATTAGCTGTGGCACAAGAAAAGTGATGGAAAGAAAGACTGAGGAAAAATAAAATCATTTTGAAGTAAACAAACAAACCAAGTAAATAAAGAAGCACCTTAAAAATGTGAATTAAAACATAAATGGGAAAAAATTACTATTAAATTTTGTCCATATATCTTTGTGTGACTGTCAGAAACAACTACAAAAGTAATAGAAAAAGATCATTTATCATTTGGAGTAATTGCTTCCCAAGTAATAGCTCCATGAAGCCAGATCATACTCACCTGAAACTGTGATTCTTAAGGGGAAAAAATTGACATGGTGAAAAAAAGTTAGAAGAGAGAAATCAAATACTGATTATGGCACCTCTGAAAGATGTTTGCAACTACTTGGAAACATAGGCCAATCATAAATGCCCTTCAATATATTAAATCACCATGAACTTTCTTAGGCTATAGTCAATGGAGCTTTTTGTTACATCAACTGATTTTCTAACCTTTAGAGGCGCATCACTTTCATTTATACCTTTAGCATTATTCTGCACTGAGCAGTTGTCACTGAGAGAATCTGATAATAAACTTTTCTCGGGCCATGACAGACAGTCATTGTCACTGTCACTGTCCTCCCATTATTCATGGATTTGCTTGAGCTGGCCCAGTAACATTGTGAGACTTGTTACTGTGTTTGGCATATCGAATACATCACAGGGAGCTTGTCAGGCTTTGCTGTGCAGGCAAGATACTCTTGGTAGCTTGCCGGGCTCTCTGAGACATATGTTGGGAGAAAAGCCCCTTTTGGTCTGCTTTGGAGTGAAGCCTTTTGTAATGTATATTTATGATCACAGTTCAGTGCTACCAGGGGGGGTAGGGTGTTTCTGGCAGATGTGGCTGTCAGTTTAATGTTTATAATCACACAGGGAAGTTGTGACTCTATCTTTAGAAAACACATGCCTGTTCTAATCGCTGTGAGTTCCTGATCCTTTGTATGTATCCCCCACCTTCTGCCTGTCTCACCCATTTGCTCAGCTTATATAAGTTGTACTTATTGTCCAATAAAGTTGGAACTGCTTGACGGGACTCTAGCCGTGCTCCTGAGCTCATTTCTTGGTTATTGAGTAGATGGTAGCATAGGGCATGCTTTTCCCCCCAGACTCCTTTTTTTTTCTTTTTGGGTTACACCCAGCGATGCACAGGGGCTACTCCTGGCTCTTCACTCAGGGAATTACTCCTGGAGGTGTGCTTGGGGGATCATATGGAATGCTGGGAATCGAATGCGGGTGGGCGGCCTACTCGCTGTGCTATTGCTCCAGCCCCTCTTTTTACAGGAAAGGCAGATTGGCCTGGTCCTCAGGGCCTTGAGCAGCAGTCTCTTGCTGGATGAGGGAGAGCGCCAAACAAGAGGCAAGAAGAAGGAGACCCCAACAGATATACAGAAATGAAACCTGATTGCTTCTCATTAATATTTCTCAGATCATGGATTCATTTGAGATATGATTAGTAGAAGTCAAAGAGCATCTGAGAGAATAGTGGAGACTTACTTTTGAGGAACAGTAGTTCCTATCCAGCCAACAGTGCCAGGTGTAACACAGCAAAAGTCATAACAGGACACCACACTTTCCCCGGAACCACTAACAAGCAGGAATGTCCTGCAAAGAAGCGGGAGTATTTCTAACCCAGAATTCAATGGCACATTTAGCCTGTGTAAGTCATTGACCCTGCCCTATCCCTTGCACCATGAGTGTGTGTTCCATTTTGATTCAAAAGAAAGCATGCAAGAAGATATACTGTCCTGTTTCCTTCAGCCAACACAAATTCATCTCTGTAGTCATATCTTACTGCTCATGAACGCAATCACATGATATAATGTGGATATTTTGATGAACACTCTAGAATGTACATTGCAGCTCACTTCCCACCCTCCAATATACATTGCAGCCTACTCCCCACCCTCTCACTGTCTTGATCCTATTTTTGGTCTGTTTGGTCAAGCGTCCCATAATAGGTCACCGCGGCAATCATCTGCTAGATGCTGTTTCTTACTTTCCATACAAATATTGAAATATATGACTTAATGTTACTTCCCATTTATTCTCAATGATTTCATTTTTCTGCAACATATGTTACAAGAAAAAATCGATTTCTCTTACATTTTCAAATTTATTGCTCAAATATCATGTAGACAATATTCTGGTAGATGTTTGTTCTTTCTTTTGATTTTGGTATTTTTTCTGGGGGACTTGTATTTTGTTTGTGGACCACACCTGAAAGTACACAGGGCTTATTCCTGGTTCTAAGTCACTCCTACTTGCGCTTAGGGGACATTATGAGGTGATAGAGATCAAATCCTGAGTTGGCCAAGTGCTGTATTAGCTACATCTCCAGCCTCATGATTATTGTAACACTTATTAAGCTTATGTCTAAAATCTGAACATCTTGACTTTTCAATTTATTTTTAGCTTTAGCATTGGATTATTTTCTGTGAAACCAATATTCAAATTAAACATTCTCTCCAAACACATTTTACTTATTGGTTCAAGATTTTAGATAGTGTAGTTTTAGGTTCACTTGATAAATTATGTATGTATTGCATAAGACATATCTTGATTCCTCTAGATTAATTTTAAATATATTTTATAATTTCTATAATTTTATAATTTTTGAAGTTTAAATGCTTACTTGTATGTTTCTTTAATTAGCTACTAGTTATTACACTCATTTATTTTTTATTTGAAATAAGACGCCAATCCTTCTCCTTCCATCAAAATTATTCACTACTTAGATCACAATAATATAATTTGGTTATTTAATAAAATCTCACTTTTCCATCTGCACTTTCATAATATATTATGAAATATATATTTTTACATATTATTGCTCAATTCTAGATTTTATCTTATCAACAATGACGTCCTTCTTTGTTTCAGTTCTTTGTTTTCTCTCTTATTATCTGTGTAATAGGTGTAGGTTACTTGGTGTTTTACTTGAAGTTCATTGGGTTTTCATTTCAAATTTTGAACAATTTATAAACTCTTACAACAAAAACATTACTTGTTTTTGCTATCTCATCAACATACCTACTGGAGTTTTTACAATGAAAACTTTATTGTTGTTGTTTTTTTAAAACTATATTGTTTTAACCAAACATGTTTTACTATATTTATTATCTTACATTATTATTTAATAATAATACATTATTATTATTTATTAGGCAGTTACTTGATTATGATTATCTTCCTATTTCAGTTATCCAGTTGTATTAGAAACTGCTGCCCTTTGGCTTTTTTCTTCCTTTCTTGGATTCTGCATCCCCTAAAAACTATGAATATTTTTATTTGTATTTTACTAGTTGTATTTACTTTGTGATTGACATCAAACTGAGGTAGAGAGAAACCTGAAAAGGGGAAAATGTGCCGAAAAGTCTACATTTAAGTTAAATAGGCTGTCCTCACCTCTCTCCACTTCACACAGCTGAGTTGATTCGCTACCCTTCTGGGACAAAGTGTTGAAAGACTCATTTTCAGACAGTTAAATGACCCAAGGACGGTGAATAAACCCACAAATTTTGACAAAACAAGTTCATCAGAGGGTTACACAAGTAATAAAGGCTACATTTTATCAAATTTACCTCATACACACTGAGGTTTTTGTACACTGAGTAGAGACAAATGAAGACAATTTAGAAAAAACCAGAATCAGCAAATATTTGAAGAAAGCTGACACAATGAAAGAATAAAAATAGCCAGAAACAAAAGACATTTAAAAAATAAAACAAAACAAAATAAAACTAGATAGCACAACCAAAACACTATACAAGTCTTGTAAATAAACCAGAAGTTGAGTGTAGTGATGATGGAAATATAAACAAGGAAAAAAGAACCATGCCTAGTAAAACATACTTCGTTTATCCCAGAACACTACTTTCACTTATTTACTAAATAAAACTGAAAATCTAAATTTCTAGGGAAAGACTTGAAAACCATAGCAGTTTTACTGTATACTAACTCCTAACTGTAAGTCACTAAAATACCAATCTACTCATAATAAGATATATACATTGATGGTGTATCCACAGAATGGAACCATATATGGTCTTTCAAGAATGTCAGGAGTAATTTCTGAGCACAGAGCTAGAGCAAGCTTGAACACCAGTAAGCATGAACCAAACACCAAAAAGCATTTTTTAAATTTCCTATAAGCAAAAGATATGTTTCACATCTTTGTTTCATTCTCAGTACTTTTGTCAAATATGCTATATCTTTTATTTTTTTTTAATTTATTTTTTATTAGTGAAACACCATGAGATACAGTTGTAGATTTACAAATCTCTGTGCCTGGGTTTCGGTCATACCATGATCAAATACCCATCCCTCCACCAGTGCCCATTTTCCACCACCATGGACAATATCCCTCCCCCCCCCATCCCCCCCTGCCACTGAGGCAGGGCATTCCCTTTTGTTCTCTCTCTCCTTTTGGGTGTTGTGGTCAGCAAAAGAGGCATTGAGTGGCAAACATGTTCATTCCATAGTCTACTTTCAACATGCATCTCCCCTCCTGGGGGGATCCTCCAAACACCCTCCATTTGGTGCTTCCTTCTCTATCTGAACTGCACTTTCCCCTAGAATACCAGGCAGGCCTCTAAGCTATGGAGTAATCCTCCTGGTGTTAATCTCAGCTATTCTTGGGTATTAATCTCATATTTTGTTATTTTATTATCCCCCAGATGAATGCAATCTTTCTATGTCTATCCCTCTCTTTCTGACTCATTTTGCTTAGCATGATACTTTCCATATTGTACCACTTGTATGTAAATTTCATGACTTCATCTTTTCTAAGAGCTACATAGTACTCCATTGTGTAGATGTACCAAAGTTTCTTTAACCAGTCATCTTTTCTAGGGCACACAGGTTTCTTCCAATTTCTGGCTACTGTAAAGAGTGCTGCAATGAAAAAACAAGTGCAGAAGTCACTTCGACTATACATTTTTGCCTCTCTGGGATGTATTCCCAGGAATGGTATTGCTGGGTCAAATGGGAACTCAATTTCTAATTTTTTGAGAAACGTCCATATTGTTTTCCAAAAGGGCTGAACCAGTCTGCATTCCCACCAGCAGTGAAGGAGTGTCCCTTTTTCGCCACATCCGCGCCAGCAACGGTTGCTTTTGTTCTTTTGGATGTGGGCCAGTCTCTGAGGTGTGAGATGGTATCTCATTGTGGTTTTGATCTGCATCTCCCTGATGATTAATGATGTAGAGCATTTTCTCATGTGCTTTTTTGCCATTCGGAGTTCTTTGAGAAAGTTTCTGTTCATTTCATTTCCCCATTTTTTGATGGGGTTGCATGTTTTCTTCTTGTGGAGTTCAACCAGTACTTTGTATATCCTTGATATCAACCCCTTGTCAGATGTGTATTCGGCGAATATTCTTTCCCATTCTGTAGACTGTCTTTGTATTTTGGTCACTGTTTCTTTGGAGATACAGAAGCTTCTTAGTTTAAGATAGTCCCATTTATCTATCTCTGTTTTCACTTGCTCGGCCAGTGGCGTGGCATCTTTGAAAATACCATTAGCCTCAATGTCATGGAGGGTTTTGCCAACTTTGTCTTCAATGTACCTTATAGTTTCTGGTCTGATGTTGAGGTCTTTAATCCATTTTGATCTTACTTTTGTACATGGTGTTAGGCAGAGTTCTGAGCCCATTTTTTTGCATGTAGCTGTCCAGTGATGCCAGCACAATTTGTTAAAGAGGCTTTCCTTACTCCACTTCACATTTCTTGTACCTTTATCAAAGATAAGATGATCATATGATTGAGGGGAGATGTCAGTGTATTCAACCCTGTTCCATTGGTCTGCAGTTCTGCCTTTGTTCCAGTACCATGCTGTTTTAATTATTACTGCTTTGTAGTAGAGTTTGAAGTTCAGGAGGTTGATTCCTCCCATTTTCTTTTTCCCAAGAATTGCTTTAGCTATTCGTGGGGGTTTATTGTTCCATATCAATTTCAGGAGTGTTTGCTCCATTTCTTTGAAGAATGTCATGGGTATCCTTATAGGGATTGCATTGAATTTATACAATGCTTTCGGTAGTATTGCCATTTTGACAATGTTAAGTCTCCCGACCCATGAGCAAGGGATATCTTTCCATTTCCTCATGTCCTCTTTTATTTCCTGAAGTAGTGTTTTGTAGTTTTCTTTGTACAGGTCCTATACTTCCTTAGTTAAGCTGATTCCTAAGTACTTGATTTTCTGGGGCACAATTGTGAACGGGATTGTTTTTTTCATGTAGCTTTCCTCTCTCTCACTGTTTGCGTATAGGAAAGCCATGGACTTTTGGGTATAGATTTTATAGCATGCAACTTTACTATACAAGTCTATTGTTTCTAAAAGTTTTTTGGTGGAGGTTATTGGGTTCTCTAAGTATAGTATCATATCATCTGCGAATAGTGAGAGCTTGATTTCTTCCTTTCCTACCTGAATGTCCTTAATATCTTTTTCTTGCCTAATCGCTATTGCAAGTACTTCCAGTACTATTGTGAACAGCAGTGGAGAGAGTGGTCATCCTTGTCTCATCCCTGATCTTAGAGGGAAGGCTCTCAGTTTTTCCCCATTGAGGATGATGCTTGCTGCAGGCTTGTGGTAGATGGCTTTAACTATGTTGAGGAAAGTCCCCTCTATACCCATTTTGGTTAGGGTTTTCATCATAAAGGGGTGCTGGATCTTGTCAAATGCTTTCTCTGCATCTATTGATATGATCATATGCTTTTGATCTTTTCTTTTGTTGATATGATGGATTATGTTGATTGATTTCCGAATGTTAAACCATCCTTGCATCCCTGGGATGAAACCTACTTGGTCATGGTGTATGATCTTTTTGATGAGTAGTTGGATTCTATTTGCTAGTAGTTTATTGAGGATCTTTGCATCTGTGTTCATCAGGGATATCGGTCTGTAATTCTTTCTTTGTGGTATCTCTGTTTGCTTTTGGTATCAGTGTGATATTTACTTCGTAGAAACTGTTTGGAAGTGTTTTTAATATTTCAATTTCGTGGAAAAGCTTAAAAAGGATTGGGAGTAAGTCTTCTTTGAAAATTTGGAAGAATTCACTAGTGAATCCATCCGGGCCAGGGCTTTTGTGCTTGGGGAGACTTTTTATTACCATTTCAATTTCCTTGGTGGTGATAGGTCTGTTCAGGTATTCCAGGTCTTCTTGGTTCAGCCTTGGGAGTCTGTAGGAGTCAAGGAATTTATCCATTTCCTCGAGGTTTTGATGTTCCGTGGCATAAAGCTTCTCAAAGTATTCCCTGAGGATCCTTTGAATTTCTGTAGTTTCTGTTGTAATGACCCCCTTTTCATTTCTGATTCGGTTTATTAGGGTTTTCTCTCTCCCTTTCTTTGTGAGTTTTGCTAGAGGCTTATCAATCTTGTTAATTTTCTCGAAGAACCACCTCTTGGTTTCATTGATCTTTCGGATTGTTTTTTGGGTTTCCATCTCGTTAATCTCTGCTCTGAGTTTTATTATTTCCTTCTTCCTGTTCAGGTTGTGCTCCTTTTCTTGGTCCTTCTCCAAGTTCTTAAGCTGTGAGGTTAGTTTGTTTATGTGGGCTCGCTACTCCTTTCTGAGGAATGCTTGTAGAGCTATAAACTTTCCTCTTAAGACAGCTTTTGCTGTGTTCCATAAGTTTTGGTAACTCGTGTTCTCATTTTCATTCGTTTCTAGGAATCTTTTGATTTCCTCTTTGATTTCCTTTCTAAGCCACTCGTTGTTCAATAGCGCACTGTTTAATTTCCAGGTGTTTGATTTAGTTTTCTGTATTTGTGTGTGATTTACTTCTAATTTAAGCGCATTGTGTCCTGAGAAGATTGTTGATACAATCTCTATCTTCTTAATTTTATGAAGGTATGTTTTGTTGCTCAGCATGTGGTCTATCTTGGAGAATGTTCCATGTACGCTTGAGAAGAATGTGTATTCAGCTTTTTGAGGATGAGGTGTCCTGTTTATATCTACTAAGTCCCTTTCTTCCATTGTTTCCCTCAGATGAAGTATGTCCTTGCTTAGCTTGAGTCTGGTTGATCTATCAAGAGGTGACAAAGCGGTGTTGAAGTCTCCCACTAGTATTTTGTTGCTATTGATGTCTTTTTCCAAATCTATGAGTAGTTGTTTTAAGTACTTTGCTGGTCTCTCATTAGGTGCATATACATTTATTATTGTAAGTTCTTCCTGTTGTACAGATCCTTTGATCAATAGGAAATGGCCTTCACTGTCTCTTATGACCTTCTTCACTCTGAAATCGATGTGGTCTGATATTAGGATGGCTACCCCAGCTTTTTTCTGGGAGCTGTTGGCCTGTAGGATTTTTTTCCAGCCTTTGACTCTGAGTCTGTGTTTGCTTTGACTATTGAGATGTGTTTCTTGCAGGCAGCAGAATGTTGGGTTCAATTTTCTAATCCATCCTGCCACTCTTTCTCTTTTAATTGACATTGAGAGAGATTATTGTTATGGGATTTTGTCCCATTGTTCTGTTGAAATTAGGTGTATTTGAGGGGCCTGTCTTGCCTTAAAGTAGCCCATTTAGTTGTACTTGTAACCATGGTTTTGAGTCTATGAAGTACCTGAGCTGTTATTTGTCTGTGAAACTGTGTGTTGTTCCTTCTATTATGAATGAGAGTCTCGCTGGGTAAAGTATTTTTGGAGAGGCATTTATTTCATTGAGTTTTTTCACTATGTCCCACCACTGTTTTTGGGCCCTGAGGGTTTCATCAGAAAAATCAGCTGTGAATTTTAAGGATGCTCCTTTGTAAGAGATTTCTTTCTTCAATCTTGCTGCTTTCAGAATTTTGTCTCTGTCTAAAGTTTTGGTCATTTTGATCAGGATGTGTCTTGGGGTATTTTTATTCGGATTTCTTCTAGCTGGTGCCCTTCGGGCCTCCTGAATGTGGCCACAAGTTTTCTTCAGCTCTGGAAACGTTGTAGCAATGATGTCTTTGACAGTTTCTTCTTCATCAAGGTTTTCTTTCTGTCCCTCTGGGACTCCAATAATTCTTACGTTAGCCCTCTTGGCTTCGTCACAATCTTCTCTTGCCATCTGTTCCCGAACTGTGAGTCTCTTTTCCATTTCCTGCTCTTTTCTGGCGAGTCTCTGAACTTCATCTTCGAGCTCACTGATTCTGTTCTCAGCCGCTGTTACTCTGCTGCTGAGGCCTTCCACTGAGTTTTTCAATTCGCCTACCAGGTTTTTCAGGTCCAACATTTCCGATTGCATTTTCCTCATTTCTGCCGTCAAATCCTCTTGTCTTTTATTGGCATTGCTTTCCATTGTTTCTTTTAGTTCCCTAAGCATCCTATGTAGCTCCCTTCTGAATTCCTTGTCAGAGACGTTGTCTAACACTACAGTACTGTTGATGTCTTCTGGGCTAGCGTCTTCAATAAGAAAGTTTGGTGGGCTTTTGCGTTGCTTTACCATTGTGACCAGTGTGGTTTAGTCCTTCACGTTCACTGTTACTATTCTGGTTGAATGAGGAAAGAGTTTCCCGGAACCGTTCAGCTTTGTTGCCGCGAGATGGGCCTCAGTTCCCCTCCCGCGCAGATTAAGAGAGAAAACCCGCTGTTCTAGGGGATCGATCTAGCTGCACATGCCCAGAGAGAGTCCCAAGCCCTGGGGGCAGGCTGTACCTGGCTGAATGAGGATAGACTGCCAGGAGCCGTTCAGCTTTGTTGCTGCAAGATGGGCCTCTTCTACCTTTCTGAGTCTGACCTTCTTCTCAATAAGGCGTTATTCTTTGTTTTATAACCAACATTGAGTGAAACTTTTGGAAGAGGTGCTATTTAGTACTGAGCTTGCACAGCTATTTTCAAACAGTACTTTTGTTGGAAATGGAGTAGGCGAGTGGGATGTTGTTGAATTGTAGTAGAAGAAGTGAGAAATTTTTGGTTGGTATTACGTGACAAGTTGTGGGATGAAAGTCTTGGTTGCTTGGAGCGAGTGATATATCTGCGGCCGCATAAGCGGCCGCCCACAGAGAAGGAGACCAAGCCCACTTTTGGGAGGCCACGCCCCTTCTTAGAGGCCACACTCCTAGCCCGTCCTAGGCCACTCCCTCCCAGGATCCTGGAATGGAGGAAGGGTGGTGGACAGTCTCCCGGCTGTCCTTCGGTGGGAATCAGTCAGCAGCACGTGGCTGGGGTCAGGGGTGACTCCTGGTTGGGATCCCCCTACCCACCTGGATGGGAGGGGCCGATGGACTGCTGGGGCGGTCCCGTGGGGCTGGACGCCTGGCAGGGTCTCCGTGCTGTCCTTCGGCGGGAATCCATCGGGCTATATCTTTTATTAAAAAAACATTTTTTTTTACGTCAAAATATTCCCCATAACAAGGTTCATTGATTACTTTACAACATCTAAGCTTTTAGATGTCCTGAGGTGACAGTGAATGATAAAAAGTAGAACTTAGTGAATTAACCCAATTTCTATGTATCCATTGTAACTGATAGGGAGCTTCTTGGACATAACCTTGTTGAACCATCTCTGAGTAATAAAACATCAAGTCTCGTTTCTGCGGTTGGCAGCCCAGGCGAGAATGATGTGCAGGTGAAGGGACTGTTCTGGTCACGATGGATGTCACTGGTTGGCTTGATGGGTCTCTGGCTGCGTGCAGGAACACAGTGTGGGTACTTCATTAGCACGAGGCTTCCTTACTAACATTTTACTAGAATGATTGGATAATTGTCTTAGAAGCTAATACTTTGTAATTGGGTTGCTTTATCTCACTTTCACTCGAACATTACAGGGAATGAAGTATTTGAATTGGAACTATGCCAATAATCTTTTTGCCTTTTAAGAAATTTTCATTGCCAAGAAAGGCTGGATTAAATTGTTTCCTTCTAAAAAAAAAAACCAAAATATTCCCCATAATATTCTCCTTAGTTATCTTTTTGACCTAGTGTCTCTCTGTTCCAAAGTTCTTACCATTAACAGCACTGTTCTCTGACATTTCAATTGTCTTTTCAGCTTCTACTCTCTCTCTCTTCTATTTTCAGCTTCACCATCCAGCCCAATATCTTGTACATCACAAGTATCTTTTCAAATAAAGGATATTAAAACATTACTCTTTTCTCTGCTTTTCTTTTACTTTCTGTCTAGATACTTCCAACTTTCCTGACTTGCTTTTGTTTATAGTGATGCATTTTTTTTTACATACACAAAAACTTTTGACCTTACAAAAATTGAACTTAAATCACCTACCCTCTTGTATATAAAGTCAAACAATTTCATTATAAGGAGCACGGATTGGTAAATATGTAGCAGAGCATATTCTATCTCTCTAATTTTATAAGACCTATAGGTCCCTGCTATGAGAATATTGAATGGTGACAATGTACTTACCTCTCCCTGAACACATGCAGTGAGCATCAAATATACAGAGAGAGAGAGGAATACAGCATTTGGGAAATGTTAATGCCTAAATCATTATATACTGAATTTGTGCCTAAAATTCTATAATCAGTATTGATTTATATGAAGTGCTTCTGTACATATATAAATATAAAATACTTTGGGGGTAAACTGCTTTATATATGTTAGTAGTTAAATTATATACAGTTGTGTTCAGGATATCACTACTTTTTCTTTCTTTTCTGTGGATTACATTTATTTTTAATTTAGACACTGATTTGCAAGGTTGTTTATAATAGGGTTTTAGGCATAAAATGCTCCCATTTCCAATCCTACCACTTATTACCCCAATCGCCTTCTCCCCAAATCTCAGATTATTTACCACCTCCCCTACATGAATACTTGGCAGATTCGTTTTTAAATATAATTATTGTAATTTGGGCCTCGTGCTTTAAATAGCAATTGGTCCAAGGGTTTAATATAGATATATAGGTATAGCTCAAAGCATCTATCTCTTGTCCCTATTATTATTGGCTTTCTTATCCACAATGATTCATATGTAACATTCTGAAAGGCTTCAAATGTGTAAGAACTGCATTGTGATTGATACCAGCCCTCTGGATTTACAGAAACTTAGATCAAAATTTTTTTCTTACATGCATTAATGATTTCATAAACTAAACAAAGCTGGCAGAACATAGCTTGGCATAGAGATTTCCCTGGGTACCAATACTCCATCACTGGAGTCAGACAGAGGGTCCAACACTCTGAGATGGCATTGTGGAGAAATCCACCAGGATACTTGAATAGGTCTATTCCCTGCCCTGATCTTGCACAGAGAATCTTATCTTTTCTCTCAAGATAGTCCTGCAGTTTCATACTAGAAGACTTCGGCAATTTGCCAGTAGCATAAGTGACCTCTTCAGACATTATTGAACAAAAAAAAGAAAAACTCAATAACGTATAATTGGCTTGTCACGCTGAACTTCAAGAAGCTACTGTTGTGTATTGGTCCTGCATGTATGATTGAGTTGAAAGGTCTTGCTTTGTTAGAAAGCAAGAAAAATCCTGGTGTCAGAAAACAGAATTGTTCTGCTGAGAATTTTAGAATTGCAATATTCTCACTTGTAATTACGCTTTTACTAACTTCCCTCAAGAAAATACCAAGATAAAGAAATGAGCCTCTGAGTAAGATGTGGATTTCAAATACAAGTGCAAACTTTTTTTTTAAACAAAATCCATATTTTATTTAGGTTAAAATAAACTACACAAAATTGATTTTCTTCACCAAACATAACAGCAATATTTTTATATTCACTTGATCACTTGACATCCTATTACTCGTCGATTTGCTCGAGCAGGAGCCAGTAATGTCTCCATTCATCCCTGTCACGTGCTAGTGTAGCCCAATGGAGTCTGCTCATTCAAGGAACATGAACAGTCTCAAACCGATCATTCAGGGTCTTTTTTTTTTGATCTTTTATTTATTGATTTTTTTGCGTTGTTTTTTTTTTATTGATTTTTTTTATTAGTGAAACACTTGCTGGAGCGATAGCACAGTGGTAGGGCATTTGCCTTGCACGCAGCCAACATGGCTGACCTGAGTTCGATTCCTCTGCCCCTCTCGGAGAGCCGGGCAAGATACCGAGAGTATCTCGCCCGCACGGCAGGGCCTGGCAAGCTACCCATGATGTATTCGATATGCCAAACACAGTAACAAGTCTCATGATGGAGACGTTACTGGGCCCGCACGAGCAAATCGATGAACAACGGGAGGGCCGTGATACCGTGATAGTGAAACACCATGAGGTACAGTTACAGACTTACAAATTTTTGTGCTTGGGTCTCAGTTATACAATGATCAAGTACACATCCCTCCACCAATGCCCATTTTCCACCACCACTGATCCCAGTATTCCTCCCACCCCCAATCCCCCCCATCCCACCCTGCCTCTGTGGCAGGTCATTCCCTTCTGTTCTCTCTCTCCTTTTGGGTGTTGTAGTTTGCACAAGAGACATTGAGTGGCAATCATGTTTGGTTTATAGTCTATTTTCAGCATGCTTCTCCCATCCTGGGAGGATGCACCCAACACCCTTTATTTTGTGCTCCCTTCTCTATCTGAGCTTCCTTTTCCCCTAGCATGTGTGGCTGGCCTCCAAGCCATGAAGCAAAATTCCTGGTACTAATCTCGGCCACTCTTGGGTGTTAGTCTCCTATTTTGTTACTTTATGTTCACCAGATGAATGCAATCTTTCTATGTCTATCCTTCTCTTTCTGTCTCATTTCACTTAACATGATACTTTCCATGTGGTACCACTTGTATGTAAATTTCACGACTTCATCTTTTCTAACAGCTACATAGTACTCCATTGTGTAAATGTACCAAAGTTTCTTTAACCAGTCATCTGTTCTCCGGCACTCAGGTTTTTTCCAGATTCTGGCTATTGTAAAAAGTGCTGCAATGAACAAACAAGTGCAGAGGTCACTTCAACTATACTTTTTTTGCCTCTCTGGGATATATTCCAAGGAGTGGTATTGCTGGGTCAAATGGGAGTTCAATTTCTAACTTTTTGAGAGTCGTCCATACTGTTTTCCAAAAAGACTGAACCAGTCAGCATTCCCACCAGCAGTGAAGGAGGGTCCCTTTCTCACCACATCCGTGCCAGCACAGGTTGCTTTTGTTCTTTCAGATGTGGGCCAGTCTCTGTAGTGTGAAATGATATCTCATTTTCGTTTTGATCTGCATCTCCCTGATGATTAATGATGTAGAGCATTTTCTCATGTGTCTTTTAGCCATTCAGAGTTCTTCTTTGAGAAAGTTGCTGTTCATTTCATCACCCCATTTTTTAATGGGGCTGGATGTTTTCTTCTTGTGGAGTTCAGCCAGTACATTGTATATCCTTGATATCAACCCCTTGTCGGATGTGTATCCAGCGAATATCCTTTCCCATTCTGTAGACTGTCTTTGTATTTTGGTTACTGTTTCTTTGGAGGTGCAGAAGCTTCTTAGTTTAAGATAGTCCCATTTGTCTATCTCTGTTTTCACTTGCTTGGCTAGCGGCGTGACATCTTTGAAGATACCATTAGCTTCAGTATCATGGAGGGTTTTGCCAAATTTCTCTTCAATGAACTTTATGGATTCCGGTCTGATGTTGAGGTCTTTAATCCATTTTGATCTTACTTTTGTACATGGTGTTAGGCAGAGATCTGAGCCCATTTTTTTGCATGTAGCTGTCAGTTTTGCCAGCACAATTTGTTAAAGAGGCTTTCCCTACTCCACTTCACTTTTCTTGCCCCCTTATCAAAGATTAGATGATCATATGCTTGGGGGAGATGTCAGTATATTCAACCCTGTTCCATTGGTCTACAGCTTTGCCTTTGTTCCAGTACCATGCTGTTTTAATTATTACTGCTTTGTAGTAGAGTTTGAAGTTAGGGAAGTTGATTCCTCCCATTTTCCTTTCCCCAAGGATTGCTTTAGCTATTTGTGGGCGCTTATTGTTCCATAAAAATTTGAGGAGTGTTTGCTCCATTTTTTGAAGAATGTCATGGGTATCGTAATAGGGATCACATTGAATTTTTACAGTGCTTTTGGAAGTATTGCCATTTTGACAATGTTAATTCTCCCGATCCATGAACAGGGGATATTTTTCCATTTCCTCGTGTCCTCTTTTATTTCCTGAAGTAGCGTTTTGTAGTTTTCTTTGTACAGGTCCTTTACTTCCTTAGTTAAGCTGATTCCTAAGTACTTGATTTTCTGGGGCACAATTGTGAACGGAATAGTTTTCTTTATGTCACTTTCTTCTCTTTCACTATTTGCATATAGGAAAGCCATGGACTTTTGGGTACTGATTGTATAGCCTGCAACTTTACTATACAAGTCTATTGTTTCTAGGAGTTTCTTGGTAGAGGTTTTAGGGTTCTCTAATAT